ATCATGTGAGTGGTGTTTGTTATAAACTCTAGATTGATAGATAAGCTTTTCTGGAGATAACTCAGAGATTAAATAGGAAGAAATTGAAATTACCACTTATTCAAACCTTTTCAGTTGGGCTGTTGGTTTCTGAAAAATTTGAAGTCTACATCTTGGTTTTGTAACTTATTGAAATCACTTCTTTCGAATTTTGTTTTGATTTCCAGTTTTGGTTTTCAAAGTCTGACAATGATACTACCCTTTCTTTTTAAACTGCTTGGCTTACCTTCTTGATGTGGATTCCCACTCCCTTGCTGCTATGATTGTGAACTCTGTTGATTAATTCATGTCAATCTAGGCACCAATAATTTACCAATGAAGATTTACCACTGATTCATCTTGCAAAGATGAAAGTAATCATTGGAATTGAAATTTATTTGTATGTCCCTAGGAAAGCAGTAATTTTTTCACTTGTCATTACCAAATTTAATGGTAGATGAACAAAATAGTTATCAGTCTTACCAAGAATATAGAATACTTTGTGCATAAACTCTATTAACTCTTTTGATTTGCTTCTTGGTTTTGAATGCTGAAACTTGTTGCCAACTTTTGTTCCATTTTCTTAATCACAGGGTCAATCACTAAGATGCAAAATTACTGTCTGATTCTTCTCTTTTTTGTGCATTTGTCAGTTGACAGTTAGGCTTGTGTTAAAAGAGTGGCAGTTCTCTGATGGTTCTCATAACTTGAACCATCTCCGTATTAGCTCTCAACAATCACTCTATGGCTCATCTAATTACCCATCAACAGCCGGAAGAAAGGTTAACATCACTGTTGTTGAAGGAAAGGATCTCATTGCAAAAGAAAAATCTGGAAAATGTAACCCTTATGTTAAACTGCAGTATGGAAAGGTAGCTATTGTTATTGCACACGCAGAAAGCATAATTGCGTCTCACTACACATGTTCATATTGGAATTAATTATTCCCACCTGTGTTCTCTGCTGGGAACCTTCTCTGCAGGGTCTCCAAAGAACAATGACAGTCCATTCTCCAAATCCTCTCTGGAGTCAGAAGTTTGAATTCAATGAAGTAGCAGGTGATGAATACCTAAAGATTAAGTGCTACTCTGAGGAGATCCTTGGAGATGATAGTATCGGCAGTGCTCGAATAAGTCTTGAAGGACTTGTAGAAGGTTCTGCCAGGGATGTATGGATCCCCCTTGAAAAAGTTAATTCAGGAGAACTACGACTGCAGATAGAAGCTATTAGGGTCAACGACCAAGAAGGATCAAGGGTAACTTCTTATCAGCATGAACAAATAATCTTTTGCATGGTTTTGTTAGCTTTCACATTGCCTTTTCTGCATCCCGCATTGGTGGCTCTTTGCTACTGCAAAAATTATAGAAAAACATATAAATAGTCATTGCAGAACATAGAGGAGAAAAGGAAAGGACAAATAGAGAGAAAAGGGGAAGAGCATGAAGAAATGTAAAGCAGAAACTTGTCTTTGCTTCCATGTGCAAAAAATACAACAATTTAAAATACAATTTTGAAAATGGGTTTCAAAATCCTAAACTCAGCCTAATTAGAAAATCACAAATAAAATAGTAAGGTAGAGGATGATGATTATGCTAACAAAATCCCTACCACAAAAGAACAAGTAAATAACATAATTAAGCCCTAGTGACATAAATCAAACCTCTAAGGTTGTGTTTGATGAAGGATTCAAAATAAGGGATTTCAATGAAGAAAATATGAAGAAAGGAATCTTAAAGTCCTTTTCTAGATAACATTTCGTGTCAATAAAAAAAAAAGTTTTGGTTGTAAACTTGTAATACAAAAGCTTTTCATTTTAAAAAACCATTAAAAGATGGTTTTCTGAAATCCTATTGGGCAGTGGTCCAGCATCACAGAAAACATAAGGGAACTAAAAAAGACAAATGGCTGTTAAAATTTAGGGTTGAATTGCTAGAGCCTCTAATATTTATGAAAATTTTTATGGTTGTGTGTGAATTTTGAGAAACAACAAACCTAGAAGTTATCTTGGTAACTGGAGATTAAAAAATATAACAATACCTTGCAAGTCTCCCCATGAACTCTATCAGTCTTCACAGGTGGGAAAAAAGTACTAACTAGTTAGCCTTAGAGCATCTCCATTTGTGTATCCCCATGGTTATCTCCACTCATGGGAACAATGTTGTAAAAAGTGGGCTTAGGCGGTGCCCAGGCTCTAGGCAGTGTCATTTTGCCTGCATCAGCCTTTAGGCAGAAATTCAATGCAGTTTGCACCACTTAGATCAATTAAGCACGCCCAGGTATTATTAGGTGTGCTTAATAGCGCCTAAAATGCCTGAACAAATTTTTTTTGTTAAAGCCTAATGAAACGACGTTGTTTAATTTATTATAAAAATTATATTAAAAAAAACATTAAATGCCAAGTAATTCCCTCAAATTCTGCTTTTTAGACATGGTAATGAATAGAAAATTGTTTAATTTTTTTTGTTCATTTTGTAATTTTTAAAATTGTTTTATATATATTTTTTATTTTCTTAGAATTATATCAAAAAAATTATTTTAAAAAAAGACCGCCTAGTCAACTTAGGCACTACCTATGCACTCTAGGCTCTAGGTTGTGGATAATCACCCACCATCACCTAGCACTTTTTACAACCTTGCATGGGGATGCCCTAAGGGATACCAGCCCCCCCAGTGGGATTATTTATATGTTATATATTTTTTCATCCTTTTACTTAGAAATATTAAATTTGGGAAATGTGGCTTGAATAGATAATGTTGGTGCAACTTTTGAGTCTCACTTGATTCCTCCCCATTGTAGAGGGTCTGCTTTAGATTCGAAATGTAGGTTGAATAAACTAATATAGATTGTGATGAGGCATTTGGATGGAGATGCTCTTATCTCCCATTGAAACTTTGTTATGAGAATAGGGTACTCAAAATTTAAACTTTGGAGCACTATTATTAGGCTTTTAATACCATAATAATGAATGATGGAGTTCAAGTTGACAGCTAGAGATGCAAGAATATGTTAATCTCTAAGACTAACCTAAACAATACTCTCCCGTCCACCATACCGTTGTGGCATGACCAATTTAAAGAAGTACATGTGAGTGCATATAGTTTGCAATATTTTCTATCATGTGATGCTAATATGATGTCCTATTTTCACTTTCTTCCAGGGTTCCACCACAGGTTCAGGCAATGGCTTGATTGAACTTGTTCTTGTTGAAGCGAGAGATCTTGTAGCTGCTGACTTAAGAGGGACAAGTGATCCATATGTAAGGGTGCACTATGGCAACTTGAAGAGAAGAACAAAGGTTTGTCAGTCCTGCTCTGATTTTTGAATGCAATATTTGCTTTGTGAATATAGACTTAAATGATAGTTTTAATAATAAAAATCTTCTCCTTTCCTTTATGTTTTGGTTATAGTGAAACCGATTTTATTTTTATTTATACCAAACAGACTCATAACAAATTTGTTTCTAACTGCTGCATTGCCCTTGTCTCCACCGATCATTACACAAAGATATAGCTTCCAGTTCCCCATCCTCCCCCCCTTCAATTTTTCATATAATATAGCTGTCTATCTTAATTATGCTTGCAAATGATGGATGAAATTTAAGATATTCAGCATTATCTCTTTATTTTCTCTTGGATCATATACTGATTCAACAACTTAATAGCTCATCACTACTTCATGGCTTGGCTTTCAGGTTATGTTCAAAACGTTGAATCCTCAATGGAATCAGACCCTAGAGTTTCCTGATGATGGCAGTCCCTTAGAGTTGCATGTGAAAGACCATAATTCCTTACTACCAACATCAAGCATAGGTGACTGCGTTGTAGAATATCTAATGCTTCCTCCAAACGAGATGTCAGACAAGTGGATACCCCTTCAAGGTGTGAAAAGGGGAGAGATACACATTCAAATTACAAGAAAAGTTCCAGAACTACTAAAGAAATCCAGTTTAGATGCTGATCCTTCTTTCTGTAAATCCAGCCAAATTTCTAGCCAGGTGCAAACATTTTGTTCATTTCATTTTCCTTTTTTGCCTTTGGATATTATTTGAAGCATAAGACAAGATCCTGGCATCCTGTAGATATTTTATCCAGCGTGCATTATTATCAGGAAAGCTAAACCTCATGATATATACGTCTAACGCCACACAAACTTGTTTAATATAGCAAAAGTCCTGGTTGTCTCTAGGTTTTCTTACTGCTAATTTAACCCCACATTCTAAGGACATGTAAACTCTTTGAATTGCAAAACAGACGTAACTGATATCCAACACTGCTTTGCTAGGAGTTCAAATGACATCATATCTGACATTTATCTTTTTTCTTAAATGCAACTCTGCAGATCAAACAAAGCATTACCAAGCTTCAATCGTTAATTGAGGATGGAAATATTGAAGGGCTCTCCACAGCTTTGACTGATCTTGAAGCACTCGGTTATGAACGAGAAAAGAACATGGTACAGCTCGAGAATGAGCAAATGCTTCTACTTGACAAGATAAAAGATCTTGGTCAGGAAATCTCTAACTCTTCACCTTCTTCAAGTAGATCTTCTGGATCTTGAGCCTCCCTGATCACTTTTTGTATAAATGTAATGTTGCATATACAAATTATGTTAGAGATAGATGAATGTATTTATGTATATGGTACTACGGTAATTATCCTCATTGTTAATGTAGCTTCCTGCTGTGTGAAGTTATATGTGAGATTATGGATCCATCATATATTGAAAAAATATTGTTTTCAATCTGGACTGGCAAAAAAGAAGTCAGTCCAATTGGAAATTGTTAATAGCTGGGAGTAGATGATTTTTGGATGGGTTCTTTTGTGGTTTTCGTTTAGTTTCATATGAATTATATAATGATCATGTAAATTTGTTTGATTTTTTTTTTTTTAACTCAAAAATATATATATAAAATTAATTAAATATTAAATATTAAATATTTATATTTTCAGTTTTTGTGTTGTGTAAAAAGAGTATAAAATATTGATACATGAAGCCTTAATTAAATTAATTTGTGTAACAAAAAATTCTTATATAGTTTGTGGACTGAATAACTTAAAACAGTTTGATAACATCTTTATTATTAGGTGTTATCCTTTTTATCACACAATTCTTGTTTTGCTGTATGATTCCCTGCTTAATTATTTATAATTATAATTTGATTGATTAAAACTCTTTTCCCCTCTTTCTTTTCATTTTTCTCAACTGAAACGTACATTAAAAGTTGTTGCTTCCTTTTTTTTCTTTTTCTTTTTTTTTTTTCTTTTTAACATGGGAAATTTTTGGAACCAAGGGATAATTTGACTGTTATTAGAAGTGACAGAACTCTAGCAAATCAACCTTAACAAATGCGTCGAAAGCCGCAGCAGAAGAGTCGTTGCCTCTTTAGTCTAGGCTCTTGGATTAAAGTGATAGATATTTTTGTGTTTGCTTATATAAGTTTAAGCCCAATTTCTGAAATGGGTCCATATCTAAACCAAAAAATCCGAAAGGAAAGACATCTTATCTACTGAGAAACAGGTTTGCTCTCTCCTCCAGCATCTGCATCTTCTTCTTATTCTTCTTCTTCTTCTTCTCCTTTCTCGGCACACAAGACAGTACAGCCATGGAGAGCAGAGGAGACTGCGATAACTAACTGAATTCCAACCTTAGAAATGGCCTTCGTAACTTCAAAAGTAGCAGAATTGCCGCTTAAATCCTCATTCCCACTCTCATCGTACACCCACTCCTCTTCCCTCAGTCTCCTTTATTCATCTCCAAAACCCTCATTTCGCTTTCTCAAGCCCTTCTCCGTTTTCTGCACCGCAAGAATCTTTAACTCCGGCGGCTACTTTCACTCCTGGGATAATCAAGCTTTTGAACCACCCAAGTATGCTGCCTCCTCTCTCCGCGCCTTGCCATCGTCTTCCCGTCCGTACGAAGCTGTCAAGGAGGTGGCCACTCAATCCAGCGGCAGCTGTGATAAGGAAACGCAGAATCGCTATTTGAGTAAAGACAAAGGGCAGAATGCAATTGAGAGGATTGTTCTCAGATTGCGGAACCTGGGATTAGGATCAGATGGTGAGGAGGAGGAAGAGGAAACGGATTGTGGTGGTGTGGGTCCAGTTACTGGAGAGGAGAGGCTAGGTGATTTGTTGAAGAGAGAATGGGTCCGGCCTGATACAATGCTGATAGAGAGACAGAAAGAGGAAGATAGAGAAGAGGGATTATTGCCATGGGAGCGAGACGAGCAGGAGGGTTTAGGAGTGAAGAAGAGGAGAGTCAGGGCTCCTACATTGGCGGAGCTTACAATTGAGGATGAGGAGCTGAGGAGGCTTAGGAGGAATGGGATGTATCTGAGGGAGAGGATCAACGTGCCCAAAGCGGGGATCACACAGGCTGTTTTGGAGAAGATTTATGATAGGTGGAGGAAGGAGGAGCTGGTTCGGCTTAAGTTTCATGAGGTTCTTGCCTGCGATATGAAGACCGCCCACCAGGTTGTTGAGGTTGGTTGCTTGGCTTTTCTAAGAAATCTTGGCTGGTTTGTGTTTTTTCTTAGCCCTTTCAATGATTTTATTCCAGAGTATGGAAGTTGAGAATTGTGATAGAGTTTTGTTGGCACGTCCTAATTATGGTTGAATGATATTCTGTTGAACATTTTATGTAGAACTATTTTTCTATTGTGTAGTACGGTTGATACATTAGGCCTTCTAATTTTACTCAAAGATGGTTGACTAGATACTAGCAAAGAAATCTGATATTGAATTAGAATCCAATGGACAAAGCTGTCAGCTTTCCAACATCTACTTAAATTCTCTCATGGTTTGTTTCCATGGGTGAAGTCTATGGCAGTTTTCTAACATTGCACCTTAAAGTAACCTGAAAGGTCCAGTTGGTTTTTGTATTAATGAGAGATTATGTTTTGTGAGTATGTGGGTTGGAAGTTTAAGGGTAATATAGAAGGGATCTTGGCAACTAGGCAACAGGTCATATGGTCCTTTGATGCCTAGTGCAGTATCACAATGCTAATGAGATGTAGGCTTTAATATAGAATTTGTCTGGTGTAGTTCTGCAATTTTATGCATATGTGCAGCAATCTGATGTCACACACTGCTTCAACCTCATCTAACTACTTGAACTTATGGGACAGCGTCGTACTGGAGGCTTAGTTATATGGAGATCAGGAAGTGTGATGGTGGTTTTCCGTGGAAGTAACTATGAGGGACCTTCTTCCAAATCCAAAGCAGTTGATAAAGAGGGAGAAGCGCTTTTTGTCCCAGATGTTTCTTCTGCAAGAAATGCAGTAATGACAAGTGACAATGATGCTGCTTCAACATCAACTCCAGAAAAGAGTGTACTAGCTGTGAAGAAACTAGACCTCAAAGATAGCATGACTGAAGAGGAAGCAGAGTGCAACAGCTTACTAGATGGTTTAGGTCCTCGTTTTGTTGAGTGGTGGGGTACAGGAGTACTTCCAGTTGATGCTGATCTTCTTCCTGAAAAGGTTCCAGGTTATAAAACACCTTTTAGGCTTCTTCCTGCTGGAATGAGGTCACGCCTAACCAATGCAGAGATGACAAATTTAAGGAAACTTGCTAAATCACTTCCTTGTCATTTTGCCCTCGGTACTTCCCTTTGGCTAATTCTTTGTCTGGCTTACATTGTCTATTTCTGACACTAAAATTCCCCTATGAATGTCTTTCATATAGGGAGGAACAGAAACCATCAGGGATTGGCAGTTGCAATACTTAAACTCTGGGAGAAAAGCCTAGTTGCAAAAGTTGCTGTGAAACGAGGTATTCAGAATACAAATAACAAGCTTATGGCTGAGGAGCTAAGGGTCTGTTCTATTCTCCTACCTATTATAGGCTTGGTAACTAATTTTTGTTAGGATATCATATTCTTCTGTACGTAACTTATTTCTTAATCAAAGCCATTGATAGAACAGCAGATTGCTAACTGTTATATTGCAGCGAACACAATTTTACAGGGATGTATAATTTTAAAGTTTTGAATTGGGAAGGCTCAAATATGATTTCATATAAGTTTTTTTATGAGCATACATTAAAATATAGTGACAATTATAAGTTCTACTTGATGAACTTAGCACATAGTGGAATGAAAATCAGATTCCGAAGAAACAAGAACCTTGATGGCCTCCCTAGTGTTGGGGAATTGAGTTAAAATGTTGCTTGGATGTGTACATCTGTGGTATTATGAAGCCATGAAAGAAGCATTATTAGTTCCATCAAAGATTAAAGGATTAGATATTTGTCAAGACATTCATGGCATATCCACTTTGTTATTTACCTTTTCATTTTGTTCCTGGGTTTCTCACTTCTTTAACATATAGGGAATGCTGTAATTTTAACTGTAAGACTCTACTTCTCATACTGATATACGAACTATTTTGCAGACATTAACTGGAGGTGTCTTGCTGCTAAGAAACAAGTATTTCATTGTCATATACCGTGGAAAGGATTTCCTTCCAACAACTGTAGCTGCTGCTTTAACAGAAAGACAAGAGATGACAAAACAAATTCAAGACGTTGAGGAGAAAGCTCGTACTGGAGCAATTGGAGCAGCACCCTCTGATGAAAATAAAGGACAGGCGCTTGCAGGTACTTTAGCTGAGTTCTATGAAGCTCAAGCCCGGTGGGGAAGAGAGATATCTTCTCAAGAACATGAAAAGATGATTGAAGAAGCTTCCAAAGCTAAGAGTGTCAGACTTGTCAAACGTATTGAACATAAACTATTTGTTGTAAGTACCATCCTCTATCCTAGTATGCTTTGACTGCTCAACCTGGGGAAAATGGAGAAATCAATCAGGAATAGGGATTCAAATGTTAACATAATTTTGTTTTGCTTTCTTTGTTATTTGAATGCTCTAATGCAGGCCCAAGCCAAAAAGCTTAGAGCAGAAAAGCTTTTAGCAAAAATAGAAGCCTCTATGGTTCCTGCCACTCCTGATTATGACCAAGAAACAATTACTGATGAGGAGCGGGTTATGTTTCGCAGAGTTGGTTTAAGAATGAAGGCATACTTACCTCTTGGTGGGTAGTCTTTGATTTGGTAACTGATGTTTGAATTCAGGGGCAGAATTCTTATGTTTTATGATTGATAATGTACCAGGTGTTCGTGGTGTTTTTGATGGTGTCATTGAAAACATGCACTTGCATTGGAAGCACAGAGAACTTGTGAAGCTAATAACTAAACAGAAGACCCTTGCATTTGTTGAAGATACAGCAAGGTTATTGGAGTATGAGAGTGGAGGGATACTGGTTGCAATAGAAAAGGTGCCCAAAGGATATGCTCTCATTTACTATCGTGGAAAGAATTACCGCCGGCCCATTAGCCTGAGGCCTAGAAACCTACTGAACAAGGCAAAGGCATTAAAGCACTCGGTAGCAATGCAGCGTCATGAGGTTTGTCTTCTTAAATCGATGTTATTATGATGTTTCATAATTGTGATTCCTTGTGACCGTCATTTGTGTCCTCTTTGTCACTCTGTACCTCATATGAACTTTGCAGGCTCTCACTCAGCACATTTCTGAGCTGGAGAGAACCATAGAGGAAATGAAAGAGGAAATTGTAAGTGGTAGTTTCACATTTATATTTTTCTAATTAAACTTGCAAATTTTAAATAGATGTATGCAAACAGACAAAAGATGCTAGGCTGCAAAAGTCAGCAGCAAGTGGCATCTGGTAGAAACTAGAAAGCACTTCTCTTTGGAACTCAGAAATTTGGATCTCAATATTATAAATTTTCACATAGATGCTAAGGCTGCAAAAGTCAGTAGCAAGTGGCATCTACAAGCACTTCTCTTTTGACTTCAGAAGCTTGGATCTCAATTTGTAATTTTACACATCACTTCCTTCACTGGTGACTAAATAGTTGAAACCATGAGTCATAAATCTGCGTTGTCTTCAAGGAAATAAAGTGATGGTCTCTGGGATAGGTCCTGATTGTTTGCAAAATTTTTTACTTCCTATAGGTTCAATTGTAAATAGATCTGCCAACTAATTATTTGTATTTGGGTGGCCAACAAAGAGTAATTATTTGTATTCATCATTTTTATTGTCCATTTTTATTTTGTCTCGTTACAATTAAAACAAACTGGAAATTCTTTTTCTGCATTGTTCTTAGGGTGTCTGTCAAGATGAAGAGGATGCTTACAACCCTAGTTCACGACAATATGACCAGTTTGATCCTGTCTCGGAATTTTCCCAAGTGAGATATTGTTCTCCTCTTCTGATATTCTTTTTATTGCTTGAGGCTTGTCTAGACATTCCCTCTTAACTCTTAAGGCCTCAATGGAAAGAAACTGGGTTTAAACCTTCGTCTTTTGAAGTCTGGAATCACTTTGTTATCATTATCAAAAAGATGGTTCCTTAGCGAGAAGTAATGTATTGAGTATTCATGTACAGAGTGAGGATGAAGCTTCATATATGGCCTCTGATGATGATGCTGACTTTGACAATAATGAGATTAATGATGATGGTGATAATGATGACGTTTATTGGGATGCTGATGAACAAGATACAAGTCTTTCAAGATTTTAAGAACTATAAAGTGACTGGATGTGGGTTTTGTTCTCCTCAGCCGTTGGAGGTAATCATTTGTCTGTTGACTTCAATCATTTTATCTATAACTTCAAAATTTGTTCCTCAAAGTAATGCATCTCAGGTCTAGAAATTTCTCTTTTTAACCTTACATAAATTTGTTAGGTCTTATGAATCCAAAAGTAGCAGGCATAAGCGCCTTTGTTGATAAAGGGTCGTGCATTCGTATCAATCTATGTCCTCATTCCACTGAGATGGAACAATTAGATGGCTATATTCCAGGTGCAGATGATTTTAAATGAATGCATGGCTTGGGCTTCATCCTGGGCAAATATTGCACCAACTGCGAGAACTGGTTTATGCCCTGCAGTCTCTTCATCTAACCATTGAGGTTCTTCTATTTGCTTTTTGTTTCATTTTTCTGAGCCTTGATGTTAACACAAGCTTCGTCATTCCTGTCCTAGGCATCAGCTTCGTTCAAAGGGACTTCTTAGATTTCATGAATCATTTGTAACAGCATGTTTATAATAGCTTCAATACATGATCTGAAAAGGGGGCAGCATATGTATATTTTATCTGTGCTCCTTTTAGAGAATTTAATATTTATCTATGCTCCGGGATAAGGACAAGAGTCGCGCAGTGGTAAATGGACAACAGATTAAAGAAAAGAACAGCAAAGATATTTGCGGGAATTCTCAAAACTGAACCAAAACTAAGTTGAATAAAGGGTTCAATTACAACAAATGCATGATTAAGCCATACACAACATTAAAGGAGATTACAAAGAAATGCAATCCGAAATTGTTCTTGCCATTTGCAGAATGCTTGAAAATATAGCAGCAGCTAAACCATTCTCAAGCTACTGTGGTTTGTCTTGTATTGGATCATTATCAACCATCATCGCTTGAATCTTCACAACTCTGTCAAAAGGAAATTCCTTCCCACCCAAGATAAGATGTTTGGATTGATACTCTGCCCCAGTTCACCTTCCTTCCCATTAACGTTCCTCATTGGCGTAGAATCTGCTGGAGCTGAAGCACTTGATTCCTTTGTTCTGGAGGCAGGAGATTTATCTGTTCTGGGGTGAGGCTCATGACCTGCTGCAGAAGGGCCTTCTCCATCTCAGGGGTCAACTACGCAAGGAAAAAGAGGGAAGTCAAATTATTGAGCATAGATATTAAGCTGATCTGGTACTACAAAATTCAAAAGCTTGATTATATTACCGATGCAGGGCGAGGCTGGTTGCCTGGGCCCATCTGTCCAGACACTAATGGATGAGATCCTGGAAGCTGTGCAATTGCTGGAGTGTCTGGTTGGCCAGACATCCAAGAAGATCCTCTATCTACTTGCATGGAAGCTCCAACTTGGTTGCCAAACTCTGTCCCTAAATGCGAGCCTCCTGCCTGAAGACACAAGCATCAGAGAAAACAAATTAACAAAAGTAGCAAGAAAGCCAAATCAATCTGATTAAAAGAACTCACTGAATACACCTTAAGGAGACGATCAGTCAAATGCAAAACAAGATGAAGGAATGACCATTTTTGTTAAGGGTTAAAAAAGATAGGAAGAGAGTAAATTGTACAAAAAAAAGGAGATGAGGGGATAGAAATTTCAGGAAGAATGATATCATTGATTTACAATGCATATGCTTTTCATGACAAACAGTCATAAATTAAAATGTCAAAGTTTAATCAAACTTAAAGCAATTCACCATGGTTCAAGCTTTATATATCTGATACACAAACACACACAGACATACACTTGAAGATTTATTTTCACTGCTCAGCATTCTATCCTATGAAATTTGTTCATTTCTCAACCTAAGCTTGCCAACACTCCTTGGTTGAGGAAATGTTAAATCATATTTGCTAAGAAAAATCATAAAAAAAAAAAAAAGAAGAAGCATAATCGATAAGAATATTTCTATTCCATTTTCCTAAACAAATAGGAATTTAAAAGCCTACATATGTCCCACTTTAGAACATAAATTCAATTGGCTGACCAATCACTTAGCTTTGGTGCCTCATCAGATTGGCTTTTGCCCAATCATGAGCCTAAGAATCTAGCTTAGGCACAAAGTAATGATTCTCATCCCAGAGAACAAGCCAAATTGAGCAGGCTGACCATGTCATACTTACCATCAACCATTCCTGGTAATTGTTTGAGCAGCATAATAAAGCACCAAAAACATGCTTACGACAGATAACCAGTGCAGTGAGATTGCTTGAATGTATAAAATTATCTAATAAAAACACATCAACCAAAGCACATGCATACCTGACTTTGATACATTGACTGATGTGGTGCCTGTCCCTGTGGAAATGAAGCTGCAATGCCAGTAGGGGGCTTATTACCTGACTGAGAAATTAAACAATAAGGATAATGAATAAAAAAGAAAAATACAACTGAGATAATCAGAAATGACTAGAAAACTATAACTTTCAACTTACATGATACATTGGGTGTGAAAGATGCTGAGGACCACCAGGATGCTGGAAACCTATACCAGGGCCCATCTGTTGGGCATATTGATGATGGAAAGACATCATAGAATGCGGTCTAAGTTGTTGTGGTAATGGTGGTTGCAAAGGCAGATTAGGAACTCCAGTTGTCTGTAATGGCTGTTGCAACTGGCTGGAAGCAATGGGTATTTGTGTTTGATGAAGAGTAGGTGGCTGTGAAGCAGGGTGAAGAGAAGGTGGAGGTGCACCTGCAAACTGGGAAGATTGGGGAAGAGACATTGGAGGGTTCAGATGTCCCTTAGTCTGCTGTGGTGTTTGTAGGGGCTGTGATGGCATGGGCTGAGACTGAATATTTACTGAAGGAGTGGTAGCAGAGAAAATTTGAGTCATAGGTTGGCTTTGCTGCTGCTTTCTCATAGGAGGTTGGATCTGTGATATACCTCCTTGGTCTTGCAAATCAACTTGACCATGTAATGATTGAGCAGGTTGGATGTTTGACTGGGAAGGAAGTTGTGCCGATTGCTGAGGATGTTGGGATGGTGGTAGCTGGATACCTGCAACCTAAACAATACACACGCTTAAACCAGTACTTAGGAAAGTAGACCAAAGTGAAGCTGCAAAGAAGATTTCATATAGATATGAAAAGCATACCGCTTGAGGAGGCTGCACCATTCCAAGCATTATTTGAGCCTGCAGAACCAGCACAATGAAGCAAAATTTCTTCAGCAATGGTAAACAAACCTCCACAAAATTTTCCAGAATGAAGAACACCTTGACATCTAAACTATAATTACTGATGGATAAATGCTTCAATAAAACCATATTGTCAAAGTGAATAAAATAAGAACATGAATAACAACCACCAAACTCTCTCTTCTAACTCAAATTGGTCAGCCTCTTCAGACTTAAATAAAGAGGACATGAGGTGATCCATATGTAAATTACTTGTCCAGACTACTATCAAAACCAGATGAATGATATCCTATTCTCCTGTAGCATGGTTGGAAAAGCATACAGAATAAATTGTAGCCAAATCATCTATATACTCCAAAAACATCACTTAAAATTGTGCAACTACTGAGTCTCATGAAGATTAGGTCAGGCGCTCTTAGCCAGTTTTGGCACACTTCAAAACATAATTTTCTACAAACCAAAGAAGTGTCAATTCCACGAGTATACTTGAATTGGACTTGGGTTTTATAGAAATTCTGCAAAACATCAAGTACTTAAGGCTTTAACTTGGGTGATAACCCATTTGGTGCTCATCCTTGATCAACAAAGACTGTCTCTCTATTTCGTGTAAAATAAGATTTCCACTCTATAATTTCCTACCATTTATCCCAAAAAACTCTGAACACCCATGTGCATGCAAAGCAACTCTCGCAGATATCATGCAGCAATTGGTTCAGAAATTCACACAATGGAGAGAATACCCTCAGTAACACAACAATTTAAGATTAAAGAAACAAAATTTCCCATGGTAACCAGAAATTGGTCTACAGACAACAGAAAAAACAAAACTTGAAAGACTTTAAAGCAACCCAAGAAAATCAAACCTGAAAAAGCGCTTTAGTCAAGGGAGGGTTTTGGATTAGGATCTGCCTCGCTTGTTGCTGGTTCTGCTCGATAAGGGTCTGTAAAGATTAAAATAAAATAAATAAAATTCTGTAAATTATGAGAGATTCTAAAAGCCAGTGAAAGACATTACAAAAGAGGACAACCTGGAAGGTAAACGACTAAAATTGAAATAAAAATTGGTAAAGAGAAATGCCTTCATCTGAGACATGATTTCGTAAAGTTGGTTCTTTGACATGCCAGCGATATTCGGCGGCAAACCGTCGCCATGGAGTTGCTTTCCCGCCATTGTTTCCGTTATCTACCTGCTGTGCCGAAACAGAGGCCGCTCCGCCGGCCTTCAACTCTAAGCTTAGGAAGGAAGAAGAAAGAGAGTCGGCCGAGAAAATGAAAAGGAAAAAGAGATTAGTTAAAGGCCCAGCTTTACCAAATCGGAAAAGAAAAATAAAGGCCCATTTTTTTTTTTTTAATAAAAGAAGATTGGGGCCTTTGGACATTGGGTCCGTCAAAGTTAACAAGTCCATATGTGATCTGACACTGACAGTTGTGAGTGGTGACACAGTGCAGGCGTTGCAGTTACCACCGCCGGGAATACAGGGCATTTGTTTTTTCTCATGAAATGCCGTGAGAAAGTTTTCCTTGTCGCTGTTGCTTGTGAGATATTAAAAAAATAAAAAAAATTATTGAATTCAATCCAGTTTAAATGTTCAATTTATGGTCATAGACTATACTTATTACTCTTTGTAAATTTTAGCCCCATAATAAACTCTTACTATTTTAAACTA